GAGAGAGAGAGAGAGGGAGGGAAGACCTGGCGAAAGCGATGTCTTTTGCTTCGGCAGAGAAAATACCACTGAGGGCTTTAGGAACGCCAAGAAATGCAGGTCCAATGTTCATAACGGCTTTAATGTGGTTATGGCACCAGTGTGGACCCCCTCCCCCTCCCATGGGAGTGGGTGCCTCCACCCATTTGATGAAGTGAAGGAAGTAAAGCACCCCCATGGAGTGTGGCACCACAACCACTTTGTGGCCGTTGGTCCTCACCATCAGCTCTATCTTACTCTTCAGCCTACTCAGGGATTGATCGCGCACCTGTCCAATGGACTTATTAGTAAGAAGAGCCAGCCTACAAGGGGGACAGAAGAGCGACTACCTCTGTATTCTGGAAGGAGAGCCTCCAATCGTAAGAAGTCATGTGCATGTTCTTCCCCTCGTAGCCAATGTGAGCCAGGTTCTCGATGAGCACCGCCCAAACAAAGTAGCCGGGACCAAAGTAATCGGCAGCAACAAGGCCAGGAACAGGCCGCACCCTGATCCCTGGAGGGTCCAGCCCGGTCTCGTTGTCCAGAGACATGTGCTCCAGCCAGCAAAGAGGCCTATCCACGAACAAAACAACTATAACGATAATAATAAGAACAATGTTTGAGGTGCGTTTCACTGAAACACTTCCTCAAAGCAGCCTAGCAATAAATGTCGTATCAGATGGTGAGGAACAGCAAGAGAGAAGGGGGGGTTATGTACCTCTTGAATATTTCAGTGAAGCTTCCGCCCCACACTCTCTTCCTGAAGAGACCGTGGGCACAGGGGCGTCCTTCCCACAGCTCGAGACCCCCTGTGACGATACCAGGCACAAACACGACGGGATGAAGCTCCCTCAGCCCTTCCTTCTTCAGCTTCAACCCGGGTGGCTCCACGGGCAGCTGCAGGTAGTGAGAGGGGAGCGTGTTGTATAAGAAGAGGAGGAGCCACCACGCGGTGCATATATAGCCGATCAGCCAGCAGCACCAGTCGACGCATCTCCAATCCTTCCTCCTCTTCACCACCAACCGCAGCCTCTCATCGTCCTTCTTCTTGTCCCCATCCCACACCACCTTCTTCTCCTTCTCCTTCTCACTGAGGAAGCTGCTCTTCTTGTAATTGATCACCGCTTCCACATAGAGAAGCTTGCGAAGGACCGGTGCCATCTCAATGAATAAAGAAATCAATACAACAGTAACACCAAGTTATACTACTACTATTAGAGGATGAGAAGAAGAAGGGAGCACAGTGCCAGAGCATTGGCACTCAAGGTAACAGCCAGCGGGCGGGCGGCCGCGAAGGAGTATGAGAGCAATGCGGAGAAACCAATGGGAAAAAAGCAAAGTTCTCGCGACGCCTGTGCTCGGAACTCCATCGCTCTCCTCTCCTTGTTCTTCTTCATGCACGATTGCCTCCAAGGTAACTAACGCAGAACCCACCACCTGTCTCTTATTGCTACTACTCTACTTGATTGCTAAACTAAAAACAAAGTACCATCACGTGTCCATTTCAAGCGAATCACCATTTGTCCACCCCACCCATTCTCCTCTTTCTTTTATGCTATGCTATGATATGATATGCAGGGTTTAGGAATTACAAAACAACAAATATGTATATATCCTTCCTCCTCCTGCTTCCTGCCAGTCGTGCCTTTTCGTTATAATTGCACCACCCCCACCATTTCATTAAAATTTTCATTCATACATTCTATTCTCTCTCTCGCTCTGGATTTGCACTAAAGAGAAATCAAATGCTTCTTACCGAACTCACTCAGGATACCAGTCCAAGTGTGGAGAGAGAGAGACGCACACATCGAAAGGCACGACTTCCTAAGCTGGGGATGGGGTGCGTGCCTTGAAAATTGGAAATGGCACGCCCCCATATGCTCTAATGCTAATGTACCACACAATGGAGGGAGGGAGGGAGCGAGCGTTTGTATGTATGTATGGGCATGGGCGTGCAGAGAGATAGAGAGAGAGGAACAATCAGAATGTTGCTCATTACTGCTGCTCTTTCTCCATCGGATTCCTCTCCTTTCTTCGCTGTGGTTGTTGTCAATGAATTCCTATCCTTCGTAGTGGCTCTGGTCACTGCGGTGTTTGGTTTTTATTCAACAATAACAATTAGGGGTGGCAATGGGCTGAACACATGGTCTGGTGCGATCGGCCCAGCTCTAAAATCAAGGGAGTCAGCTACATACAATACAAGATGCAGGCAGGTTACGGGCAGGCCACACCACACCACAGGTTCAGACTGGAGCAAGCCGTACAGTGCCTGGGCCAGGACCTCTTGGGCCTAGTCAGGTTGTTCAACCGCTAGGGACTACGCCCGGCTGGGCCCTCAAACTTGACCCACACCAACTCCTAAATAACATGTGTAAATAGAGAGAGAGAGAGAGAGAGAGAGAGAATACCTGGTTGTGAAGAGAGAAAAAGTGCCTATGAGAAACGAGAAGTGGCGAATCTAAAGTGGTTAATGTTCATGTTCTAACTCTAATTATAACATTCTAATTATTTAAGGTCGCAACCTTAAACAATCCAATTAAGGTGTACCTCCAAAATTTATTATAATATGTAAATTTGATGTAAAGTATTTTTAATATTATTTAAAAATCTATTTTTATATCTAATTATAAAATTTTAAACTTCAAAAATA